CTCCTCAGGACACGGTGTTTGTGTCACTGTGACAATCCCTGGGGACATGGTACCGTGTCACCATCAGGGCTCCTTTGTGTCACCAGAGTGTCCTCGTGTCACCATCAGGGCTCCTTGGGGCCGAGCTTTGTGTCACCACAGTGTCCCCTCAGGACATGGTGTCGTGTCACCATCAGGGTTCTTTTTTGTCACCACAGTGTCCCCTCAGGACATGTCATCCTGTCACCATCAGGGCTCCTTTGTGCCACCACCGTGTCCCCTCAGGACGTGGCATCGTGTCACCATCAGGGCTCCCTGGGGCCGAGCTTTGTGTCACCACAGTGTCCCCTCAGAACATGGCGTCGTATCACTGTGATGTCCCCTCAGGACATGTCATCCTGTCACCATCAGGGCTCCTTTGTGTCACCACAGTGTCCCCTCAGGACATGGCACTGTGTCACCATCAGGGCTCCTTTGTGCCACCACAGTGTCCCCTCAGGACACCCCGTGCCGTGTCACTGTGATGTCCCCTCAGGACGTGGCATCGTGTCACCATCAGGGCTCCTTTTTGTCACCACAGTGTCCCCTCAAGACACGGTGTCGTGTCACTGTCATGGCTTCCTGGGGCTGAGTTTTGTGTCACCATGGTGTCCCCTCAGGACATCCCGTGCCGTGTCCCTGTGAGGGGACACGGTGGTGTCACCGCCCCGTCCCCTGGGCACGCGGTGTCCTGTCACCGGGACAGCTGCTGGGGACAATCCCGTGTCCCCCGTCCCTCCTGCTGCTCCCTGCTCTTCCTCCACTCCTCCTCCTCCTCCCGGTCCAGGCGCTGCAGCTGCTGCTCCACCTCCTCGGGCACCGTCACTTCCAGAAGGTTCTCCAGCCCCGCCTCGGGCTCGTCCCCGATCAGCACCTGAGGGGGACACGGGGACAGGGATGAGGCGACCCCCACCCTGATCCTGTGGGATGGGACCCCCACCCTGATCCTGTGGGGAGAGACCCCCACCCTGATCCTGTGGGATGGGACCCCCACCCTGATCTGTGGGATGGGACCCCCACCCTGCTCCACTTGGGGCCTGCGACCAGGATCTGGGACAAGGACTCAGGACCAGAACCAGGACCAGGATCTGAGACAAGGACTTGGGACCAGGACCAAGACCAGGATCTGGGACCAGAACCAGAACCAGGATGTGGGACGAGGACTTGGGACCAGGGCCATAATCAGGATCTGGGACCAGAACCAGGACCTGGGACCAGGATCTGGGACCAGAACCGGGACCAGGATCTGGGACCAGAACCAGGATCAGGATCTGGGACAAGGACTTGGGATCAGGACCAGGACCAGGACCATGATCAGGATCTGGGACCAGAACCAGGACCTGGGACAAGGACTCGGTAGCAGGAGCAGGACCTGGCACCAGGACCAGGGACCTGGGACCTGGACCAGAATCAGGACCAGGATCCAGGAGCAGGACCTGAGACCAGGACCCAGGACCCAGGAGCAGAATTGGGACCAGGACCAGAATCCAGACTAGAGACCAGGACCATGATCTGACACCAGGACCCAGGACCAGAACCAGAACTGGGACCAAGACCTGAGACCAGGACCAGAACCAGGACCAAAGACCAGGACCCAGGACCAGAATCGGGACCAGGACCAGAATCCAGACTAGAGACCAGAACCAAAGACCAGGACCCAGGAATAGGACTTGGATCGGGACCTGAGACCAGGACCAGGACCAAAGACCAGGACCAGGACCATGACCTGGGACCAGGACCAGGACCAGGACCAGGACCAGGACCATGACCTGGGACCAGGACCAGGACCATGACCTGGGACCAGGACCTGGGACCAGGACCAGGACCATGAGCCGGGACCAAGACCCAGGACCAGGACCAGAAGCAGGACCAGAAGCAGGACCAGGACCTGGGACCAGGACCCAGGACCAGAATGAGGACCAAAGACCAGGACCAGGACTATGACCTGGTACCAGGACCCAAGACCAGGACCCAGGACCAGGACCAGAATCCAGACTAGAGACCAGAACTCAGGATCACGACTGGGACCAAGACCCAGGACCAGGACCATGAACTGGGACCAGAACCCAGGTCCAGGACTCAGGACCAGAATCAGGACCAGAGACCAGGACTAGGCCCGGGCCCTGAGACCAGCACCAGGCCCAGTGTCCAGACCCAGGCCAGGGGTCAGTCCCCTGCTGTCTCCACCCCACCCCATGACCCCACAGTGACCTGGATGACCTCGGGGTCCCCCCAATGACCCGGATGACCCTGTGGTAGGCCCTGAGCACCTCGGGGTGCCCCTGACTGACCTGGATGACCTTGTGGTCCCCCCACTGACCTGGATGACCTTGTGGCAGGCCCTGAGCACCTTGTGGTCCCCCCACTGACCTGGATGACCCTGGGGTCCCCTCACGGACCTGGATGACCTCGGGGTGTCCCCATTGACCTGGATGACCTTGTGGCAGGCCCTGAGCACCTCGAGGTGCCCCCCACTGACCTGGATGACCCTGGGGTCCCCCCACTGACCTGGATGACCTCGTGGTCCCCCCACTGACCTGGATGACCTTGTGGCAGGCCCTGAGCACCTCGGGGTCCCCTCACTGACCTGGATGACCTCGGGGTCCCCCCACTGACCTGGATGACCTTGTGGCAGGCCCCGAGCACCCCATGACCCCTCACTGACCTGGATGACCCTGGGGTCTCCC